GTTGGGGGGAGGGCCCGCAGAGGGCCGGGCGGGGCGGGGGCATGTAAGATGGGCCGAGACCCACCCCTGTGCCCACAGCAGCCTTGTGCGCGGCCCACAGTTCCTTTCAAGGTGCGTGAATTTGTGCACTGGGCCCCTAGTTGGAGTTAGTAATAATCTACTTATACAAACTCAAGTTGTTCTACTCATGATTTTGATTGGACATGAGTTAAAAACCATTTCCCATTATCACATACTTCAGCAATAAAAAAAATCTCATGATCTTAATATTACTCAATCTGTATAAAATGTATTATTCTAGCTAACACTTAAGGAACACATATTTCTGGGGAAATAAACTCCTTTGTATTTGGACCTCACAACCACCTTATGAGACTAGTTACTATTATTAGCCTCAGTTTCGTCTAGTGGACGTGAGGTAAAGAGAGGTTAAGAACTCATACAAGAAACTACACAGCTAATATTAACGTTAGCCTAAGACAAGGCCTATGCCATTATCACTCTCTCCTTCCTCCTAAGGTACTTTTAACTCTTCAGGAACCCAATTAGAAATGTTTCTAATCATCCTACCAAACTGGACACTGACTTTCTGTTCCCAGGGAGCCTGTCGTTACCACCGGGACATAAAGTCTCTAGCATGACCACTGTGAGGAGTCCTGAAAGTGACTCATTCTCCGTACCCACTGCTTGTACTGGAACTGCTGAATAACAATGCCAATGACCCACAGAAACACCACAGGGAGCTACGTTTTGGTAATTTTAAAAGAAAGAACGTGGCCAGCAGCCTCCTAACTTCCAGTGCTGAAGCTACAGCAGTGTGTCCCGTGGCCCACAGCCAGGAATATGCACCTCACCTGCCACCTGCCAGGGCACCGAGAGCTTCAACAAGGAAACCAGAGTGTGGTTTACATAGAAATCTTACTTTCTGTGCTGCACTGCATTTATTCTGTCATGTTTTAATTTTCACATTTTATTTCTGAATGTGCTATGTCACAGAAATATTGCTCGAATCTGTTGTATATACGTTTATAATAAAATACTTGAGAAACTATAAATTAAACACTCTAAAGTAAAACGGTAACACTGAATTAACTAGAAGTTGCAAAAGCAATTTATATTGACTTTGTGAAAACAAGATGAGCTGATTTGATAGACCATCTTAAAATATCACTGTGAATCTGTAAACAATGCAAATCAATTTAGGAGTCACAATAAGAGCTAAGTTCGCCATACACTGACACCCACTGTTCAAGCAGAGCTTCTTCCTGCTGCTTCACAGGGGCGTCTGGGAAGGGAAAGGGCCTCACCTATCGTTTGGATGATGGCGTTCTGCACGATCTTCTCGTCGTTGTCTTTGGAGGCCGAGTTTAAGCTGACGCTGCCCATCGATCCCCCGTGGACATCGTTCGCTTCGAATTCCACACTGAGACGCAGGTGCTTCAAGAGCGTGTTGAAGACCTCCAGCACCGTGGGTCCTGCAGGGGTCACGGGGTGAGCAGACACACCTTCCCAGTGTGCACGCACAGCCAACTCCCAATCCCTCCAGAGATCTCTGGTTATGTTCTAAGTAATTGAACATACTCACTGATTTATGAACTAACCAGTTCATTAAAAAAGTAAACAAGACGTATCTAACTAAAGGCCCAGTTATTCCAACAAACATTAACTGGCATCTCTAAGCAGCTCACAATTTGAATCACTGTCTAACCCACACAAAATGTGTATATATTTATAAAGATTTCTCAAAACTTTCTACCTATCTAATTTTGTCCATTCAAAATAATGTGTATGGGGACAACATTTAACTTGTTGGGTCAGAATCCATAGAATTATGATATTATAGCTCGTTGTAGCATAGGAAATTTATTTTGCATCTGTTGCAGCTGAAGAAGGAAGAATTTGCCTCAATTACTAGACAGACAGCCACATTCTAACACTTTTTGGGATGTACAGAGCCCAGCACATGGCACCCCACACATAACTTCCCAATGATATAACCTGCTTCCATCTCTTTGAGATAAGTTACAAGATAAGCAGTGAGAAGTCAAATCAAAAGGCCTACTCTTATTTAACAGTGAATGAATGTGAGAATGTATCAGTAGAGTATTTCCACTTTGATTTTGAACCAAAAAAATATAACCAGATTTTCCTCCTAATGCCACTAATTTTGTTAAAGACCCTTCCATTCTTCTAACCACGTACACGTAAAAATATCACCATCTGTCCCCTGTCCCTTTTCGTTATAGTCAGCTATGAAATCCTGTTGACTTGACATTCCTATCGCTGCCATCGACATCAAGTCCCTTCCCTCATGCCTACCACGATGACAACCCATTATTTCTAATGTCCTGCATTTTGCAGCCAGATGAATTATCCTAAAACACTTATCTGACAAAGATTATAGTAACTCTTTAATGAGTGTCAATCAACTGCAGAGCTGCATCTGTGATCTGGCCACAACCTGAACTTGAAAGCCACCACACCTTGTAGCCAAACAGGCTGCATAATATTTGCTCCTGCCGGTTCTAGGGAATCAGCCAAGAGGTCAGAGTGGGGAGGGAATTCATGTTTTCATTATATACTATTTTGTGCTATATAAAGAAGTTATTTCACTGTGAAAAAAAAAAAATTTGCTCCTGCCAATCCATTTTCCCTCACTCCTCTGACTCTGATTTTCTTACATGTGATCCAATTCTGCCTTTCATTACAGTACTAGGTAGAGTTGTTTAACTCCAAGTAAACTGTAAGTTTCTTTTATCTGTACCCTCCCAAATCTTTATAATATAATTGGCATCCAAAAATCTTTATTAGAAAAAAGGAGGAAGGGAAGGAGAGATTGATTTGAGGGAAAAATACTTAGTTAATTGTACACTAAGGAAGTCTGAGAATAATCATGTGAACCAAAAATTTTAAGAAAAATTACAGCACATTTAAAAACATTAGAAATATTTTCAGAGGGTTTTGCATACACTGCACTATCAACTGAAAACATTCTGGAACAGATTAAGGCAGAAGTGGTTTCTTTGTTTCTGTTTTTCTGCTGGCACTCACCTATGGAACCTTTGGCAGCAATGGCGACAGCCTCTAACAGAACCTGAATAATACCTGCTCGAACTCGTGGAGAATCTTTTTTACGTGCATCAAGGTGCCCTAGAATCTCCTGGATCAACATGGTGAAGAATAACTGAAGCCTGAAAGAAAAAAAAAACAGCCCAAAGACATGAACAGTTACATGCATCCCAGCAGAATTCATAACAAGACCACGTGACACTTAGACGCCCATTTACAGGAGCCAGTACTTATGTCATAGACCAATATGTTGCCATTAAAAATCATCCTTTTTAAGAATAAATAGGGATACTGGAAAATATTTATGATACCCTGAGTGAAAAAAGTAAGTTGCAAAATATTATGTTTAATAAAATTCAATCTGGATTTTTAAAAGTATAAAAGACTAGAATTCTATATACCCAAATATTAAAGCTGGCCATTTCTGGCAGGAGAATTCACGAGAAATTTTTATTCTTTATATTTTTCTGTAATTTCATAAAGAACACTTACATACTCTTACAATTTGATAACAGAACAAAATGTTGTTAAAAGACAAACAGACATGACATTTATAGTACCTCTCTCCTATTCAAACTAGATAAATACTACTTTTATTGTGAACACAAACAATGCTAAACAAAGCTTTCATCTAATCATGAGCCATTATCAAAATGAAAATCTTATCAATGTGTACCTGATGAAATTTAAATCAAGAAGATATGAAATTTGCAATTTACAACAGACATTTTACCAATATACATAAATTTTTTTTTTTTTTATATTTTATTGATTTTTTACAGAGAGGAAGGGAGAGAGATAGATAGTTAGAAACATCGATGAGAGAGAAACATCGATCAGCTGCCTCCTGCACATCTCCCACTGGGGATGTGCCCGCAACCCAGGTACATGCCCTTGAACGGAATCGAACCTGGGACCCTTCAGTCCGCAGGCTGACGCTCCATCCACTGAGCCAAACCGGTTTCGGCAACATACATAAATTTGATCAATAACTGTACTTGACATTGGGATGCAAGTCTAAAAAAGTGTTAAGTCTTGTAAACAGCACACCTAGGATATAAATCCTGGTATGACCAATAGTATAGTTGTGTTTCTTACAACCTTATCTCCTTTGAATTAATGACTTTTATGTTAAAAACATACACGGTGTAAAAATTGACCTAAAATCCCACTTATATTGAGAGCTAACTGGTCTGCTCTGGTTTGGAGGGAAGGCAAAGGGTCCTCTGCAGTAGATAGGAGAGTCCCAGCACAGCTTCTACAAAGACTAGGAGGTAACACAGGCACTACTGCAGAGTAGATACTCAATAAATGGTCGTTGTTATCAGCTACACGCTGCAGTCACAAATATCAATTCCAATACTAGTTTATCAGTGAAATATAAGTGCACATTGTATTAAATAAATGCACAATAACAGCACTATCATTTAATCATTTCATTCTTTTTATTACATATCTTTCCATCCTGGCAAAGAAAAACAATTACGTAGTAAATAAAAATAAATGAGATAACTAAATTAAGAACATGTTTTATATCTTATAGCAGCAATTTTCAACCTTTTTCATCTCATGGCACACATAAACTAATTACTAAAATTCTGTGGCACACCAACAAATACGTTTTGCCACTCTGACTAAAAAGAAAAAAGGTATATTTTGATTCATTCACACTGAAAGGCTATTGTTGTGTTGCCTGTTGTAGTTTTTTAAAACTTGGCAATCTAAGGGAAAAGAGGTCGGTGCCCCTGACCAAATAGTCAGGTACTGCATGTTTTAACAATTCTTGTGGAACACCAGTGTGCCGTGGTACACTGGTTGAAAATCACTGTCCTAAGGTGTTCTATATCTCTGATAAAATGTTTATCAACACAGAACCAAACTTACCTGAATGGAATACATTATAATTTTAAAGCAGTGAACTGCAAATTCATTGGGATCCCACAGTTTGTGATGATCTAAATGCCTGAAATTAACAAGAAAATTACTTTAATAATTCTTTTTTTATTCAACTTATTTTCCTTTAGAATCCTTGACAACATGCAAATCTTTGCAATCAAAAATTATCTAAAAGAAAGTCAATGTTCTAATTCCAGATATATGATATATATTTCTCCCCAAATGCCAAATTCTTTCGTAAAACACCAACAATAAAAGGCTAGAATATATATAAGACTTTTATATGAGCTGGCAAGAAAGAAAAGTTGCTCATTCCAAACTCCACAAAAAGGAAAGAATCTGGACAGTTGAGTATACACTGAAGCCACCCTGTTTTCTGCCTCTGTTCACGCATCTCAACCTGCAAAGACCTACTGCTCCAGCTAAGCCAAAGAAACACCCCCAACATCCCCAAATCAACTGGAATTCTGTGCTTTAACCCACTAGAGCACTTTTTGGCCTTTTCTTATAACCTATATATTGTATTTCATTATAGTGCATGTCAATTAGCCATCAAGTTTGTTAAGGACCAGGACAGTTTTATTCAGGTATTTAGTCCCCAAAATACCTGGTACCTTACTTGCAGAGGACTTTCAATATTTAATTATCTAAACAGCTAATACATAATTAACGATTTCATTAACATTAATTAATTAATTAACCATCACAGAATCGGGTTTTAAGTCCATCAAGCTCTACATGGAATATAGCTCACTTCCATGTTATTCAAGTACAGTTAATTGGGTAATTTCTACCTTCCAGGCTAGCTCTATAGATTTTTAAGGCTTTACATTGTACTTTTTGGTAAAAAAAAAAAAAAATTAATAACAATATTAAGATAGAAACTAAAATTCTTAAATCAGCATGTCTGGACATTAAAAAATAAACCTGCCTTTAGTTATATTTGACATGATTTTGATTATTCCTTAGTATATTTTTTATAAGAGTCCTTAAATGGTAATTTTGGAGGGGGGAAAGGTGGTGAAAATTGCAGATCCTTTTGAAAATCTAATGAATCTCTGATTTTTAATATAATTTTGTGGTTTACATATTTTTATAACTAAGATCCCAAGTATTTCCCCTAAGTAAAGACTACTCAATGTTACTTCTAGACTGCTTTACATATTCTATAAACACATTCTTACAATCAGGAAGAGAAAAGAACAAGGCAAACAATTAACAAAAGAAAGACCTGCAAAAATGTGCAGCAATGACACAGAAGATTAGCAGTAGCTCTGTCATCTGAAGATTGAGTTGAACCCAGTGCCTTGACAGGGCTTGAAAGACGGTGTGTATGTGGAGAACCTCAAAGCTCACAAACATGTTTTGCCGGAGGGAGAATACAAGTACCCATCAGAGATTTACTCTTCCTGCTCTGACTCAGTCACTGCGGCAAGAAGAAATTTCCTCAGAGCACAGGGTGTGCCCTAGGGCAGTCCAGCCACAGCAGAAAGCAAGCCAGAAAACAAGCCAGCCAATAAGAGGACCCGACCTCAGAGGTTAACAAAACGAAATACCTGATGCTTGGACGCTGTTAGTTTTAATAGTTTACCGTGGGTATGCATTTCCAGGTCTGTGGGCAGAAATTCAAGATAAATGATGCACATGGCATCAAGCACATGACTGCACTTTACTTTTAAGGAGAAAAGGCTGGGGAAGCTTTTGGACCAACTCAAACGTGTGGTATGTGACTCAATCCTGCACTCTTCCCACAATGCTCCACTGTCCCATTAGTAACTCCCTCATACAAGAAATGGTACTGTCCTCTGTAAGTTAACACAGAATACAGCACAGTCACAAATAACCAGGAAAATACCAACTACTTACGCAAAAACTGGTCTAACAGCATTATTCATATTCCCAAAAGTCGCTCGACCCAGCAGCTCTCTGAGACAGTTTTCGGCCAGCACAGCGGGATTCTCCTCTTTGTCAGCTGCGGATGGAGAAGAAGGAGGGCCTATGCGACTGGAAGGAAAGAGAAATAATAAACACAAATGTAAGAATTCTAACACTGGTCTAAAGTTAAACAGAACAGATTTTCCTTCTCAGAAATGGCAAAATGACACTTTCTTTTTATCCCCAAATATCTTAAAGAATGAGCAAGGAATAAACACAGTGTAACCTTTTTACTGAGAAAATTATAAAGTAAATAGCTGCTACTATCATTATTATTATTATTTTGGTTATTTCTAACTCCATGAAAAGCATGCTGGATCTCTAAAGAATAACAAAAGTTTAGCTATAATTTCTATGTCTTACACTTGCAACTTTAAGTAATAGTAATTCAAATAACAATTTGGATGGTCAATAATAAGTTGCAAATAAAGTATAAAATTATTCTAAAACAAATAAAACTTGAAGTGTATGAGTGACAATCTGTGTGATCACAAAAGGCAAATAATCTTTCAGAAAGGGCACATATTTACCAGTAAACTCACTCAAGTTTACAGACCACTTTTACATGATACTAAAGACAAAACTTTCTTAGCCTAGTGAGCAAGCACACATACATTCACACAAAGGTAACGCAGCCCCAGCCCTAATGCCCTTATTCAATACCTGTCGACCTCTTCTATCTTCTGCATGTTAAACAGCAAGGATGGAACAATTTTATCCATATGCTGAGGTTCCCAAATGGTAGCCCGAAGTTCATCATTGACTGTTTTGCGAACCACACCTTGAATACCCCTGATTCCAGCAATTCGAATTCTATGAAAAAGAAAATTGAATCATGAAAAAAAGTTATTTAAACAAGTCTGCTTTTTAGCTAAGAAAATGAATCCCCCCAAAATATTGTTATCTCAAGTCAATAAAATAAAAACAACACAAGTCTAAGAAATTAAAATCTCAGAAATTTAAGATGGACAAAGAGATGAGGCAGCTCCAAAAGAGGCTTCCTTTCAGTCCTATCTTTTAAAAGTCAGCATTTAAGTCTAAAAGGACCGTAAAATACAGTAATATCTAGTCTACGTATAATTTCAGTAAGAGAATCAATCAAAAGCATTAGGTTTCCTAAGAGGATGATAATACTTTAAAGCAATGAGCTAGATTCTCTCCCTTTCTTGCCTACACGTCTCAGAAGCTGAGCAAACAGAATTTCACTCTCTCTGAGCACCCTGAGTGCTTCCTCAGACTTTTCCCATGCTTCTTCTGGAGAGGCTCTTCCCGTCCTGAGCCCTTCTGGATGGAAGACTGCAGGACCAGGCTGGTTCCTTTACAGGTCTGACAAGTGAGAACTATCACCAGGGAGTGCAGACAACCTCAGCCATACGTATACGTCCCTATATACCTGTGTGTACTGACATTTACATTAGCATGTGCTTCTGTGACTGAAAATTCATCCCTCAATGAGACAATGCACCCTACCCTCCCATCCCAATCCACAGCCCCAACTTCCTCAAGCTCTTCCTCACTCTTACATATATAAAAACATCCATAGGTTCAAGAATAAGAAGTGACTAGAAAATAGCATGGTAGCCTATTTGCCCTAAAACATGTCCCCTCTGGCCAAATCTGCTTACTTTCTTTTTCACTACAACCAAACTATCCTCCACTGAAGGTCTATTCAGCTTATCTAGCACTGTCTCCCAACACCTACGAGAAGGGTTAGAGAATGGCAGCTATGGGACCAGGGTGGCACTGCTTTCCTAACCCCTGGGGAAAAGACACAGGCCTTCAGGGGGAGCAGATGGAGAATGGGAGCTGGCAGTAACACAATGCTGAACAGGTGAGAAAGTGAACTGGGAGACCAGAGACAAAGTCTGCCTGTCTTGAAGTTGTGTCTATTCATGCTGCTCCCTAAGACATAAAGGGTGAGAGACTCTGTGGCTATCACAAGTGGGCAAGCCTGACGTTACTACACGGTGTCTGTTATATGCACCTACTGCTATTCCTTGGGTGATGACAAGGTGGAGCAAACAAGATGATACAAGAATGGTGGCTGGTGCCTTGTGACACAGTAGCCTAAAGAGTACAGCAGAGTGTGCTGCCCCTGTCTGGGGAGGTGGGACTACCTACAGCTATTACAGCTACCCAGCTGGCATCCAATTCAGGTCTAGTATCTGGTCTAACCAACATATTCCAGTCATGACCTCAAAGAAATTTTATAGTTTCCTTATCAGTAAACAAGACCAACTGTCTTACCTAAAGCATAGGAATGTGTGAATGAATAAAGGTTTGAATAAATTAATTCATGTAAAGTGCTCAGTCAATACAAATTGGCCCAGAGTAAGCACTCAGTAAGTGTTAGTTAAGCACTGTCATGATAATGATTATTTCTACCACAGCTGAAGGTTGCTCAGGAAATTAGAGTTTAAGACTGTGATGCATGACTTTACATGTGGGGACTGCTCCTGCAAGACAAATATTTTAAGAAAATCTTAACCGTTATCAGACCCATTCCCCATTTCCCACCGCAGAGGCCCTGAGTTCTATCTGGTTGGGTTTTGCTAAATTAAAGGGATTGATAATAAGTATCGCAGCTAAAACCTAAAGAGGAATACGAATATCCCTGACGAAAACCAAAAGAGCTTTGACTTAAAACAGAGCAGGAAAAATCTAGCCAGCTAAGTATGGCAAAGCATTTTAGTTTACTCATTTGTTTTACAGGGACTGCAAATGAAATGTTGTCATTTTGGAATTTCAATTATCACAAAATACTAGAAAAACATCCAGTCAGAAAAAAGTACTACAAGGCCTCTCACTTGTGTATAGAAAATGTCAAGCTTCTTTTTGTAAACATTAATGAAAATTGTTACATGAAAATGTTCAAAAGACAAGATCTTTCAGTAGGGGGCGCTACATACTTAAAAATAAGATAATGTAATAAAATTTTGAATTTCTTAAATGCATCCTTTCATTAATTTTATGGATCTCATCACTTTTCACCTACTCTGGTTTATATGTGAAACTCACCTCAACCAAAATTTAAGAAATGTCTATGTGCACTTTATTAATCCTTATAATACTAAACTGAAAGAAACACTACATTCTAGATCATTTCTGTATTTTAAAAGAAAGCAAAATTGTTATAATCTTTAAAAAATTGCCATTTTCTTTAGCTAATTTTTATACTTTTTTGCCCCATTAACATTTTAATGTCAGCCCCTGAAAACAGGGAACAGTTTTATAAAACATTTTTAACGTCCTTTAGGGATAAAAAAAGATATTTTAGTGGTGACTGGGAGACATAGGAAATTAATTATTACAAGATAGTTACAGTTATCTTTACATTTCTAAGGTTTTACCCTCATAATAAAGGAAGAACATCAGGAGTCTAAATGGCCTTGAGGAAAAATTATACTAACAGCATCTCAGACAGAAACAAATCTATCTGAAATCTCTCAGCTTTCTTTCTCCCAAGTTAAAATAACTTTTATACTTGCTTTTGCTTGTGTGAACCAACACTGTAGGTTACGCACTAAAAGCTAATTAGTTGTATTTCTGCACATTCCCTTATTTATTTTGAAAGAAAAGTAAAAATTACAAAGCATGCTAAATCTTGCTAGTCTGGCCCCACATAACTATGAATTCAGGTTAGTTTCTTTCTTCCTAGTGTATTATGGAAAAGCTCAAATTACTCTATTTACCAGGGTAATTTTTATTTTTAATTCTTAACTTTCAGCCTATGTATAGACTGTATTTGGAGATAAGTATTTGATTCCAGATTATTACTAGGTTGTATTTAGAAAAAATGTTTAAAAATGCTCAAATTAGTTGTTATGAAAACCTGAGATTGACAATGACTAGTAACATACCATTCAATCTATGCACTCATTCAAAAGGCACTTACTGAGAGCCCACTATGCGCCCGGCACAATTCAAAGTGTTAGTGATACAGCAGTTCTCAAAATAAAGCTGTGGCCCTCCTGGAGTTCAGAGTCCACAGAAGAGCAGAAGACAGAGTAACTGAGATGGGATGGGAGGGTTAATATTTAACAAATAAAAGGTAGCCAGGGCAAGACTCTCATGATAAGGCGACATGCAGAAATCTGAACAAAGTGAGGTAAGAAGGGTGCCCGGGAGTTATTCTACAGAGACCGCTCAGTCCAAAGGCCTGGGAAAAGTGTGCCTGGTGTGTTCCAGAAGTGGCTGGGTTAGAGCATAACGAGGAAGAAAGATAGGATGACAGGCTGTGACATTTTTGGGGGGGGGGGGGGGGGTGGGGGACGGCGACACTCTGAGTTACAGTAGTAAAGACTGAACTTTATTTGCGATGAGTTAAGAAACCATGCTCAATTTTGCTACTTCAGTCAGTTCTTCTAACAGTAAGAAGTTGTACTTCAGGAACAAAGCATGTATTTTCATGTTTCCTTTAGTAATTATTATGTAATATATAAGCATGGTACTCATTAATAAATCGTGCTATACCTTTAAATTATAAAGTTAAACAATACATACTCCGTTCGTACATCTGGATCACTATGGCAGGAATGACACATGGCACTGAAGCGAGATACAAAGAAGTCATAACGTCTGTGATAGGATGGCGTGTCTTCTTCAATATTTGCAAATTTGACAAACTAAGGAAAATAAACAATATAAATACGTTACCACCTTTTTTAAAGTGGACCAAACACATTTATTTTCATTTATTACTTGTCACATTAACAAGCAATGTCCAAATAAGAAGCACTTATCATAAATACCACATACATATACAAAAAGAATTTTTGAATAAAGAACTTTAGAAAATCAAGGCTATAGCATTATATATATTATTATAACTTGCTAATCCAGTTCCTTTTGAATGAATAAGCTGACTCTCTAGAACAGGGGTGGGGAACGTCCAGCCCTTGGGCTGCATAAGGCCCACAAAATCATTTGGTCTGGCCCTGCCAAGGCATCAGGGGTGAGTTAATGAAAAGTCTGACCCAATATAGCAGGCTAGTTTTTAAGTGGATAATTCTGTATGGCCCTCGAATGATGTTATAAACATCCAAATGGCCTTTGGCAAGAAAAGGTTCCCACCCCTGCAAGTCTAGAAGGAAAGGCCTTGCTCTGAAGTTCGCCTACATTTCCTGGGAGCTGGCTTCAGTAATGCCCTCTCAAGCCCAACCTAAGGGAATTTTATTTCTTAATTGTGAGTAGGAAATCTTTCTGGACAGCTTTCTATACACAACACATGAGTGAATAACCTTTATACAACTATAGGACAAGGAAAAGGGGGACATAAACTGAAAGAAACATAAACTCAGTAGAGGAGAAAAATACTGAGATGGGTAGAATTCATTCTACCTCCTTTCTAAAGATTAAAAAAAAAAAAAGGAAATATCCATGTCTAGAAAATTTTAAATACCTACATGAATCATAGGCCTGGCCCTAAGATTCCTTAATATGCACCATCTCTTCTCATTAGCTTCCTTATTCATTTGGGGATTTTTAAATTCTGTACACTAAACAGCCTACAGCAATAAACTATTGATTTACTTGCAACTTTAAATATATATGTAAACACCTGCCAGGCTCTAGACTGCTGGCTATACAAGGCTATATCCAAAAGGATTATTCAACCAAGTTTTCTGATACTTTCCAAGAAACAAAACTGAAATAGCATAAATTTTAAAGAATGAAATTGTGATACCAAAAATATTTTAAATTAATTCAGCCAGAGCTGTCATCCCTTTTAAATTATACTCTTAGATGATTCACATTATCTAGAAAAAAGATACAAATAATACACTTGCTTGAGATTGAACTGAAGTTCATTACCTTCTGTATCATACACTGAGCTAGGTGTTTTCAAGAGTTCTTTTTAATTACTCCAATGACACTGAAAAGAATGTGTCGTTTATCCCCATTTTACAGATCAGAACACTGAAATTCAGAGGTGAAATCATTTGCCCACAGTGACATAGTAAATAGTGAAACTGGCATTACAGTCCTGGAGCTGGACTCCACTTTTCAAGATTCCCACACTGCACACTAACCATATGAATAATTTTGGAAAATATTAAACCAAATATTTATACTTTTCATAAAAATAAACCTTAAATGACATGAGAAAATGCTTTAAAAAACATATATGAAAAACATACACACACAAGTCTATACACAATATGTTCCTCATTTTCTAATATGTATTTTAAGAATAAATATACAGGATTACTCCTGAATACTGGAATTACAGGTGTCTTTAATTTGTTTACTCTTTTACATTTTCTAAGAATTGTCCAGCCTGGCCGGCATGGCTCAGTGGTTGAGCGTCGACCTATGAACCAGGAGGTCATGGTTTGATTCCTGGTCAGGGACGTGCCCGGGTTTCGGCTCGATCCCCAATGTGGGGCGTGTTTCTCTCTCTCTCTCCCATCTCTCTCTCTTCTCTGAAATCAATAAAAATGTATTTTTTTAAAAAAAAGAATTTTCCAAATTTGCTACAATAAATTTACATTACTTTTAAAATTAGAAAAATTTAATCAGAAATAAAAATTTGGCCACTAAAATGTTAAAAGTTCTACAAAAACTTTTAGAAGGAGGGAAACTTTATTCTCTTTTAATCTACTGGAGCCCCCAATAATGGTGTGGTCTGTGTGATCATTCCAGAAGCAGCCCCTGTTGCCCCTGAGCATAACGAGCGGGTTGAAAGCAGCAGCTCCCTCCAGGGGAAGGCACAAGCCCATCTCCTTACTGACTTCATGGAGAAGCCTTCTCATTCCTGCAGCTCTGGGAGCTCCCTAACCAACTCCAAACCCATATGCTCTGCGCTACAATACACTTCTCAGATGGAGGGTGAAGGAAAATGAGGCACAGTACAGTGCAGAGATTATGAGCAGACTGTTAGATGGCTCTAGATTTGGAACCTGGATTTGCTAACATAATGTGTGACCTGTGAAATGGAATATTTAACTTACACAGTTGAGAGGTTCAAATAAGAAGCAAACAAAAGTTAGCAAAATGCCTTGCACATAGTATATACTCAACAAAAAAATAATCCCTAGGTTTCACTTAAAAATTGGAGAATTAGATTATGTTTCAAAAGGTACAATAAAAGACAGCAGCAATGAAATTCCCAACACTGAATCCCAGCTATACACAGCATTATTTCAATGGGTCTTTGGACAAGTTTTTAGCTTCAATTTGTCTATTAGTTGATAAAAACCTGGATGGGAACATACAGATTGGCTGAATGCCTGAAAACTTCCTCAGAGATGAAGGTGGAACTGAAAGACTGAACATCCTATCTAATAAAAGAGTAATATGCAAATTAACCATAACTCCAACACAAAAGATGGCGGTGCCCAGTCCTCTCAGCCCCGCTGGAGTCCTCCAGTCCTGGGGGCGGCCCATTGCTGCGGTGACCCGGGAGTGGCCAAACAGGCCCTGCAGACAGCAGAGAACCATGGGGAGCAGGCCTAAGCCATTAGTAGGACATCCCCTGAGGGCTCCTGGATTGGAGAGGGTGTAGGTTGGGCTGAGGCACCGCCCCCATACCCCCTGCACGAATTTTGTGCACCAGGCCTCTAGTTATGTAATAAAACTAAAGACAAGAAAGATTATCCCTATATTTTATTTTCCTTTTCATATATGCCTTCCCCAACCCCAAATATGCTTAACAAGCTCTGGTTTAGGATAGAAGAAAATGAGTGTGGTGAGCAGCAATAATTCAGAAGTCATGTGAGAAAGCCTGGGGAAATACTCCCTTACTTTGATGGCCAACTGATCTTCTGTTGCCTCATGATGGGCTGATATCACAGATTTCGCAAGGAGCAACAGCAAAGCTAGAGACAAAGGGATCTCATAGTCTGCAACTGTACTGGTGCCAAATGCCCTGACCAGAGCCTGTGCCTTCCTAAGGTGAAGATGTTCTCAGAGAGATTAATTCTGAATATGCTAATTAAATTTAAAATCAGTTAAGCCAACGGTTTTACTCACAGAGTTTGTTCCAAGAACTTGAAGCTTTGGTTCCCCTGATTCCAGCAGCTTTGCTACCATATGAAGGAAGCTTTCTACAAATGGCTTGATGCTTTGAGAATGGCAAGCCATGAGAAGCTGGTCCAATGCCTCCATAGCAATTAAGACATACCTATGCATAAGAGAGAAACAATGTCAAAGCCTTTCTAGCTGTCTTAAAGCTAAATGCTTTTCACTGGAAAAATTAAAATGAGTTTATTCAAATGCACAAAACACAGCAGGGCAAATTCAGTAGTTTCTAGGGGAAATCTTCCTTTTCACAGCACTGATGGTCTTAGGTTATGAAACAGCCCTCATGCTGAGGGACAGGAAAACCAGCCAGCACGCCTGCATTTCCTCCTTCTGACCAGAACTCTGCCACAGCTTCTTTAACAGGACCTTTGCGTATTTTTGTCTCTGCAAACAGGACATTTTGTTTTCCAGATTTTTAACCATATTTCTTTGTAACCATAAATATCATAAACAATGTGCCTAAATTTCCAACATAATCTATTTATATTTGTAAACGTGAATACATAAAAAATTATCAGCAACAACAGTTAAGGAAATGTCCCATAAATGTTACCTTACAATTCACTGAATTTTAAAGGTTCGAGTAAAAATTAAAATTCAGACTTTAGTAAAGTTTGCTTCAACAATCAACTATAAAACTATTGTATCAAGACACCCAAAATGTTCTACGTGGTAACAATCTGGAAGTGGAGAAAGCCAATAATCACTTGGGGAATAGAGTACCCTAAAAACCAGGATCACAGAATGACAATATGGGAACGTAGTACCTCCAATCATCCAGGTTATCACTGTTCACGCCCAGAGAATGGATTAAGGTGGTAGAACTTACTTATAGGTAGTTGGACACCACCCACCATTTCAATGCTTTCAACTTCTGAACCTTAGTACCCAAGCCTACCACAGTTCTCTTAGTACTCTTCTGACAGGTAAAACTGAAACTGTGTTACACAAATCAGTTGGTTAACAGGATCTTTCTCTTTGTTTTCAATTTAGACACTGGTTTTTAAATTACTGTATCAGACTAACAGAGTAAGGGAGTCAATTTCTACTATTACCATTAAAAAGTCTCAGAAATTAATGGACGTTTCAGCTAAAGGCGACTCCACTAACTAACATGAGTTTATTCTTAAAATCTGAGCACCAGGAAAGTAATAAAAGCTGCAGCATCTATATGGTATTACACATTTCCTAGTGTGGCATTACAGTGTCTTATCATCTACCTATCACTGTTGCCTGACTAGACGGCAAAATAATTTAAAGGATGCTGTAACCTGGGGAGAATTTTCCAAGACACAATATTAGCAGCAATGACTTTCCTTACCCAGAACGATGTCTGACAACATCCCTGCTCAACCTTTCTGCCAGGTAAGAACCAATTCGATCCAGTTTCTCTGGAGCAGATACTGCATAAAATGTCAATTTTTCCATGTCAGCTTTAACAAGGCCATCCTAAAAATAATAACAAGTTAAACAGGTTATCTATGTTTTCATGCTTATTTTTTTTTATTTCTAAGTATTGCTTGCTGCATATTTCCCCTTTCTGGATTGGTGACTAAGCCATATTTACGCTGAACCTTTCTGGACATAGCTTTCTTAATGCTAATATTCACCATTTTAGATACACAGAATTTAAAGAAGTTAAAGAAATGCCCCATTTAGACAAAGCACTGAAATATACCTTCATAAGCAATGAATTACTCTAACACATCATCATTTAACATGACTGCATCTCATCCATTTTTACCCCTTACTAATATTAATGAGGAATAATTTATATACAATAATCTGCACCCATGTATATATCATTTGAAATATGACAGCTGTATACATCCACAGAACCCCCAGTAACAAACAAGATACAGGGTATTCCCATCATTTGCAAAAAGATGCTTCATGACCTTCCCTCTCCACTGACCACTGCCCTGCTTTTCTCACCATGAATCAGCACGTATGTTCCTCCCACATGTTCTTGTAGCTCATGGCACTTACCCTTACACTCAGCTCTACTATCATGCTTTGTCACATCAGTTTTTCAATCTTAAACAAATGCTAATCAGGTGCTAACTTGTGATGGACACCAGGAATCAACGTGAGCAAAGAATTGTGTTAATTCATTTAATCCTCATGAGGTCCTTATGAAATAAGTACTATTTATAATTTCTACTGCACAATGAGACACTGATCACACTGCTACTAATTTTAAGAAATGGGTGGTTATCTGCCCCTCACTAGAGAGCTCTTTAAAGGCAGGGACTATGACTGAAGCCCTCCGTGCCTGGGCACCTACTATCTGATCCATTTTGGATAGAGAAGATTTTTTTTTGTTTAATAAGTTAAAATTAAGAAAGATGGTCAACTGAGCTATGCATGCAAGGTTCATGTAAGCCTTTTTTAATTTTCCTCTACAAATTGCTATTTAAATAAATCTTATCTAAATACTTGGTAAATATTCTTCCTGTAATCATTCTCTAAGTTACCTGTCATCATTCCCATGGTCAAGTTTTCAAAGCTCCCTCACCACCCACAAGTGAAAGTGCATAAAGTAGATAGCCTGCCTGTCAATCCCATTCCTCTAGATCTGGCCTCCACCTCATCTTTAGTAACCATTTGTCTCAGACGACTGAGAAAAATGATCTGAATATTCAGTCCATTAAATAACACTTCGGGAATTTCAAATCAGAAATTGTGCTCAACATGATTACCACCCAACACTCTACAATTTTAAGGTTCTTGATCCCAAATGTACCTCTCTCTTGCTTTCCCAGGCCTTTTCTCTCACATGGTCCATCACTTGCAACAAAGAGACTAACCTCGACTTCTCCAGATGGTGTACATCCCTCAGAGCTCAGAAAGTCTCATTTCTCGGAGAATGCTTCCCAGAGATTCCAACCCAGTGATACCACCCCTGCTTTATGGGAAACAATACCACCTGCTTCACGTAACATTTTCACTTACTGATTTATGCACTGTGATTTAATATTCAGTCTGTTTTGCTCTAAACCAATGGATGGAAAGCTCCTTAAAGGCAGGAACCACATCTTAGGGTTTTTTATATGCCACATATTATGCAGAATATCTGGCAGCCGATGGCATTTAACTGATTAGTCTCCTCTAAATAGCTGGATGTTTAAATTAGATTTGACTAAAAATGAGATATAGCTTGAGATATATAAATTAATGTTAAGATAGCCAAAAGGTTTCTATAGTTGGCTACATTTTAAAATAAAGCAATTTCTGGAAATCAAACACATGTTAACAATTTTTATTCATGTCCATTAACACAAGACTAAAGAAGTCTTGGAAAATTTAAACTAAACCCAGGTGCCTTGAAACCAGTAATCTTCCACAGTAAAGTGACTTTTATAAAAAATTTACAAGAATTTCAGTAAAAGGAGGACAAACTCTGCCCGGAGGGTTCTTACTTTACATCTCAATTCTCTTCTAAAAACTGTGTGGCCAACTCTATTTATTCTTTGAATCTTTGCTTCATTTCCTTCAGGCCTCTCTTCTCCCAAACCCAAATCAGATGCCATTCCAACCCACTCCAGCAGCACCTCCTGTGCTTCCTTTCTCTTTCCCGCCATATTGTAATTGCCAATTTACTTGTCTAGGAGTGTGGTGAGAGCAGAGAGCCATGTCTGTGTTCACAGTTATAGTCTTAGCATTTCATATAAATAATCTGGCACCAGTTCATAAAATTTTGATGAGTATTACTTAAATTCAGGAACTATAGAGACAAAGAACATCACCTATCCACTACTCCAAATTCATGCCTAATCTATGAGAAGGATCTGAAAATTAGACAAGCAAGCATAGGTCATTTTAAAGCAAAAGAAGAAGTATAAAATAGAAGGAGTAAAAGTAGGAGGGGGGTCAGCAGGGGAAGGATGGGCCAGCAAAGAGAAGGGTCAGCAGATGTAGATCAAATTACTTTCGGGTCTTCAGGGAATATGTTGTCCACCAGGCGTTTGTAGCGAGGACGCAAAGCAGAACAGCAGCAACACACTCCTGTTCAAAAGAGAATAAAAGCACAAAGTACAGGGGTTATTCATACTGCAAATGGACTCAGAAACTAAGCTTCTGCATTTTAATGGGTTATTTAAAATGAAGGGGGAAAGTTTAAAATACCACAAACAAAAAAAAAAAGTACGCAGATTCAATTACTGATTAAGAAATGAAAAGGTTAAATTTCCTCTTCCCTCCCCAAAGACACCAGGTCAAGATGAATATACTAATGAGTTATTCCAAAGTTCCAGACCAAATTGTTTTGGGGCATGTGTGTAAATGTACACACACACACACACACCTGCCAACTTCATCCTATAAAGCAACAACATAATTTGTATCTCCTTTACCTCTTCTCAGATCTCATCTCATACTACTCTTCGCATTCCCTACACTCCAGAATTCCCCACCCCCCACCACCCCTGCCTGACCAATCCACTCAGCTCCAGCCACAGTGGTCTTAAAATGACAGTTCACTCCTAGTACAGCTGGTGAAAACAGTGAATACTTGTATCTACTCAATGATCATATAAGGAACAACCAATAGATGGGAAAACAAGCTCAAAATAAGTCCAGGAATTTTTTAAAATCTTCACAGGCTGCTGTACATATTCTCAGTTGTTGATGTCTTGGAAGGAGCAATGGGTCTGGATCCAGAAGCCCTGGGCTCATTCCAATTCTTTAACTCAAGGTCCTACATGGCCCCGGGTAAGGCACATCCGCTCTCTGGAAGAACTATGTAAGTGGGAAGGATCAGTTTTCTTATTCTGCAAACTAATAACTTCATAGGAATATTGGTCTTGAACCATTATAAATTTATTCTCATAATTGATGAAACTGGGGTGTCGCTGTATAAGTGGGCATTTGTATGTATTTAAAAACCAAAGTATGGGATGAGAGAACACTTGAGCAACAAGTTAAAAGAACTCGGATCTAAGCAGACATCTGCTACTCTCTTATCAAGTAACGTTATGCAAGAGACTTGTCCAGATCTCTCTTTGCTCATGAAGTGTGCATCGTTCCCGCATGCAGTCAATACCCAACGTCAACCGAGTGCCCAGCACAGGCCAAACAAGACTGGTCCAGATTTGCAGTAGAGGGAAGCCATGAAAAGAAATGATGAAAGCAGGACAGTTAAGATGCATACAGCATCTTTAGGAATCACAAAACATACATGCACAAATTTACACCAATAAATAATGCATACGTTATTTAACATACTCACAAACTAGTGAGGTATTATAACTGCAGCAGAACTGACCACGTAACTCACTCAACAGCAGTGGCTGGGTGAGACCCAATGTCTAACTCTACAAGCCCAGGCTCTTTCCACAACACAGTAGATATTAGTGGTAAAATCAATCAACTGCCCAATATGTCATTTGCACCTACTACGTGGTATCATGCTAGATGCCAAAGATACAAGGAAGTATGAAAGACACAAGCTCCTTGCCCCTGAGGAGTTTATAATCTGCTATTAAAAAAAACCAGTGAATAACTCAGTAGTCTATACTTAGGCTGGTAATATAAAATGCTATCCATTGTTTAGGATGCTTTTTACTTTAATAGAAGAAAAAACAAATGCCAAAGAATCCATTAGGGGGATTTTTTTTTTCATATTAACTAACACCAAAAACACCTGCACTCTTTTTAGAGTCCAAAATCAAAACACAGGTCTGATTATTACCAAGAAAATTAAGGGTAACAGCCAAATAAGCAAGTCAGGTTTCTGTGTTCATTATACGTAACACAAATATACTTCAGATAAATGTCAACGCACTGAAATAACTTAAAACCAAACTTATTGCAGGGCACTGAGCACTAGCCCACGTACTGCTACAACAAAAGGAGCTTACAGTCTGGTAAGAAAATGAAAAGACACTTTGCGAACACTAATGTGGGGCCAAACAGTAAATTCAAATTGCTGTCATAGCAAAGGGGCTAAAAACAGGTCTCAGGGCTCCCAGTTTCCCATCAGGATGGTAGTTACATTATGCCCAGTAGTTAAGGATTCTTAATACGCTATGAAGTGTCAGTCACATTGACACTTTCTGATATTATATATTGCGCTTAAAGAGGCCTCAAAAAATCTGAACTTGGGACACGCACATTATCCAGTTCCTACTTTCAGAAATCTTAGGTCTACTGAGGGAGACAGCTGAATAAAAAGTCATAATGCCAAATAGGCAGCATGGGGTTAAAGGGCTTGGACGCTGGAGAAAGACAGACAGACAGACCTGGGGTGGGCGGGTTACTTTCTCTTCTCGTGCATTTCCACAGTAGTTACATAGGTATAACCATGCATTTTTCATATTTATTGGGAAATTAAATACAATTATATGTGACATTCTTATGAAGGGTATAACATACAGTAAGCAGTCAATAAAAGGCTAGCTATTCGTGGTAGTGCAGTAAGAGAAGCCTAACAGGTATTTGAGGCCCTTGAGACAGTATTCCCAACAATGGCAAAACCTTTGCTGTAAAGCAACCATCTAAAACTCAACCAATTTCACAGGTGATTCACAAAAGCTTCCATAACGTCAGCACAGGGGGTACCTGCCACTCCTGGACAGGATGTGTGCAGTGCTAGCCTCGGCACCTACCACATTATTCATCTGCTGTGCTCATTCTCGCTGGGTGGTCACTCCTCTGGTGAATGAGGAGAGAGGCTCAGGGGCACCATCTGTCCCATCACAGTTGGCAAGGAGAGGAGCTGGGATTCCAGCCTATCTGATGACTTCAAAGGGCCACTGCCACACGACATTCAAGTACTGAACAACTTCTAAATCCCTTTAAACATCTGAGCATTCCGCATTCCATGCCCAATGAACAGGCTGCAGGAATGTGTCCAACAGATGAGGAATGCACTTCTGCGCAAGAAAATAAAGATCACATCAAGTTTCCCCACAGGACCCCAAACAAACAAAAACACCTTCTTGACCACTTAGCATAACTGAAAAACTACCAACTACAGAGAAATAAAACCAGGTTTAAAATAGCCATTTACTTGAGTTTCTATAAAATGAGACCATATTGAAGATAAGGTTATAATGACTATGACAATAATCACAAAAGAAATAACTATCGACTACTTAAAATAAGAGAATGCTGAACATATAAGCATCACAAGCAGGACGACAAGGAAATCACTGGACCTACTCAGGCACAGGAATGCGGTGGACTCCCTGGTCGGAGTCAGCTCGTAAGGCTTTTCGAGGTCGGCCGCAGGGACCGGGACGTAGTCTCTCATGCTGTCGGAGGCGGCTTTCTAGCCGATCTTCCTGCCCCAGGTCCTTCCACCTACTGCGCAGGCAGCGCCGAGCTCACTTTACTTGTAATTGATTAGCAGAGGGCACTAGCGTAATGGAGCTCATCCTGCTTGTTACTGACATCAAATGTAAAGCTATCGAGAACTTGATAATATCCTTATCAAATTCTGCTGGCAGGGCCAAACAGCGTCAACAGGATCTCATGCAAGCATTCGTACTGCTAGTTGAAGAAAAGCAGATTTTCATAAAGTTCAAATAAGAAAATAAAAGTACTTAAAACTGTTTTCCTTAAAGCATTCCTTTAATCCCTCCTCTTTCTACTTTTGACCTCTTCCCAATATTCTCTTTTCCAAGGGAAAAACCGGGCTAAGCACATCACCAAAAGCCTGAAGCAACTGGCAAGTCTGAGCAACATGAATTCTTCCTTTGCATTTAATCCCAGCATAGAAAGAAGGTAGCCCACTACCCTCCCGGAGCATGTGGAATTCAGAACCCTGCTAATGATACACTTGGGAGGAGAAACACGAAGTCTCAAGTGGAATAACTAAGCTATGAGAAAATGGAACTGGGACAGGGTTGGAAAGAGAAAAATTATGATCCCCCCAAAGTGCCAGGCTCATGGGGCAAGCTGTTCAATCAACAGAAAATCCTTCTACCTGCTTCTCAGGGTTATGAGTTCTAAATTAAAATAAAAATTTCCTATAATGTAGAATTCACTTAAAACAGGTTAATATCTTTTTAGTAAAATTTGCATACTCCTGTTAACCATTTCTTTTTTTTAACCATTTCTTTTTCAAAACACCCCAAGACAAGTTTCCTCCTAGCTCCCCTAATACCACTTTCATGTGGACTCACCAATGTCCCCTAGCCTCGCCTCTAACACCCTCCTTTGATGGAAAGATTTAGAATTAATTTCCAACCTGTCCTAACATATCCATAAGAGGATTCGAGGAACGGCATAGAAACCCTCGTGGTATGGATCAGGCACCTGGCACACAAAGGTTCTGGAAGAATTCTGCTTACCTCTAAGTGGCTAGTCCACCAGCATGTACTTCTAGTCTGGGATGACATTTGCTTTCCTATGCAATTCTGTAAGTTTGGGGGGTTGGGTAATTAATAAAGACCCTTTTTAAAATAAGCTACTTACACTTTTGACTGACTATATTATTCAGTGATAATTTAAATTTAACTGGAAATATTAATGTCTGCATATTAAACTGTTACTAATCTATCAATGCCTCTGTTATTAAATACCACCATGGTACTGGGTACTTAGTATAAAACTATCCTCTAAATCAAAAATAACTTGCTAACACTGTCCCTGGAGTTGAAGAATGCTTAGATCCCAGCATGGGAATCAACTGTATGGCTTTGGAGCAGGTTGATCTTTAAGAGCAAAACATAACAGTATCTATACCTTCTACATAGCAATTATATCACCTTAATTAATTCTAAATTATAATGGATTAGGAATTCATTGACATATTTAGGGCTCATTAAATTTCATACTTTTAAATAGGAATAGCCGTGATTACTGGGTTTTAGTCCTTTATGTATATTTCTACCATAGCACTTGTAACAATTTATTTTACTTATTTATATACATATCTGACTTTACCACTAGAACATGACACTCCAACATAAAGCCCATATCTTATTCATTATTGTGCATGTCTGAAATATAGCAGACACTTATTTAAAAAATGTTGCTTTACTAAATGAATGTAGACCCAA